TAACCCAAGTGGGTTACGCCTCATAGCCAGCTGAGCCTGCGCGCACTAGGTGGAGTTTCGCAATTCTTGTAGATATATAGATGTTTTTTCACAAAATAGTGCTTCATTTGAAATTATCCGAGATCTGAACTGCAAACACATATGTACAAATTCCTCTTTTTGCTATAGCCCACTTCTTATAGATCACTCCCAAATTGCTGGGGAAACGACCCAACACCTATACATTGACAAAAGCTCTTGCTGAGGTAAGGCTTCTTCAGTCTCCGAAAGATTTAGCACGTAAATTACCCTTGTTAGAGCCAAAAATCCTTCTATGTTAGAGTCAGCTTGTCGAAGATGCTAAGCAACTCCCAGTAATCATTATTCGACCATCAATTGTTGGCGCAATGTGGAGAGATCCACTACCAGGCTGGACTGATAATATCAATGGGCCTTCAGGCATTTTCGCAGCGGTAGGTTGGAACTCAAGCATGGACAATCAAGAACCTACCACCCAATATTTACAAAAACATCTTCGCGAATATAAAAATAATTACAGGTGGGGAAAGGAGTTTTGACGAATATGTGTGGAAGTGCACATGTAAAGGCGGATATTATCCCTGTTGACATCGTCGCCAACATGATTATAGTCGCAGCTGCTCATAGAGCAACGACGAGGTAAATCTACTTCTTCAAATACTTTTCTGTTTTTCCTTAATGTGAAGTAACTACTATAGTTCAATTCAGTTTGCTGCCATAATGCATTCTGTAACTATCGAAGCTGTCTTTAGAAAATTTCACGTTGCGAACATTGAATAAACGGAGTTTGAATAAAAACTTAAAAAGCAGGGATCAACAGCGGATGGTGAAGAAGTTCAATTGCTGCTTGGACTTCATTGATATATGAGTGTATTTCTAGTTTGGAATGATTTTAGAGACAACAGTATATCTCTGAAACTCAACATGGGAATATGAACAGTAAAAGATATTAGATTCTCGGTCAGAAGTATGGTTACAAGAGGAATGCGGTGTACATGATGTTAAGAATTTAAATTCAATAGCTATTCTAGTTATCAAACGATCCCCGTGATGCACTGTGCCTCTGGAGACCTAAATCCCATGAAGTGGGGGAAGGTTGTCATATTTCTGGAACAATTCTACCAAGAAGTGGGCAACATTTGCAAATATAATCACCGAATTAAATGTGGTTGCATAAAAATAATTTTAGTATCCTCTTCAAGAGTGTTTTTCGATTCCATCAACAATGTTTCATTCGAGTAGAAAGATGTTCGAGTTGCATTACTACCTGAGGCACCACCTCCCTGCCAAAACTATGGATTTTGTTAATGGTTTGATCGGGAGGAAGTCAAAGTACGTTTTGAAACTTCGATTATTATATGAATTAAAACACCCGGAAATTACGAGAGAAAAACGCATGAAATTACTTAAAACTAAATTGCTTCATCCGTTTGTTTTTCATTACAAAATCTTTTCCAATTTGAATTCCATTAACCAATGGAAGCTAAACGAAAGGCATGTTTACTCCTCAGATTTTTATAGAATTGATTTGATCATACTTTTGTTCATTCTTTTTTGATAACACTAAGTCAAAATTCCCAGTTCTAGTCTGTCAAACCTTCTTACTCCTAATTAAGCCATGCACGGCTGTATGCAAGGGTATGGCGAATGATCGAAGCTTTGCACTACTTTACTACCCGTGGCTGGACCTTCCAGTCGAAGAATCTACCAATGCTTTGGGACAGTCTGTGTTATGAAGACCAACAGGTTTGTTGATAACTTCCCCTCTACATTTTATATCCTAATGATCATTTCAGAGATCAATTTGTATTTATTGTATTTATGTAAATTACATCTAGATTCAAATAACTTAAAATTGGAGTGTTTAGCAGTTCAACTTCGACATCCGACAACTAGACTGGAATTCTTATCTTTTTGATTATACTATGGGAGTTAAGAGGTACATTCTCAAAGACGACCTGAACAAATTACAGGAGGCTCGAGCAAAGTTGACACGGTAGGTTTATTTGGATCTCTACTGCAGAACGGTTGAAGATCTATTAAAAATGCATATTTAGCATGCGTTTGATGCGAACTGTGTTATCGGCTGGTTTCTGGTACGTGGTCGTCCACTTTTTTGGATCAAGGCAAAAAAGACATCGAAAATGGGCTGCCTGGCTGATTGCATTCTCAACGTCACATTTCTTATTGAATTATAATTTCCGTCCGAAAATCCCTTTGAAGTCACTTGAGGAGTACAAGAGAACAGCATACTGCTAGCGAGATCTTATTGCTCTCACAAGTCTGTTAATAATTCCACAGTATCGATGATAAATCGTTCATGGTTCTTTTATTGTCACAAACTTGTGGAGTCAATTCGCTTTAACCTCATTTTTTCCTTCTTTCAATTGTTATTGTCAATGAATGTTGATATTGACTCCGCATTGAGAGTTCAGTTTTTTCGTTTGCTGTCATCGCTTTATTTTG